CATACAGCAGGGCAGGATTGGGGGTGGGGTGCTGGGGTGCTGGGTCATGGTAAGAAAGACAGCCCTGCAGTAGGAGCTGGGGGAGGGGGGTTCGTGCTCTCTTCCAGGACTATCGCCCCTGGATAGCACACACTCACCTGTCCAGATGGAACTTTTCACTATGTTGATCCACCCAATCCAAGACCAAGGGAGATCCATCCATTTTCTGGTGTCCTCTTCATTTTTTTTCTTCAAAGCCTTAAAGTTATTGTCAAATAGTCTTTTCACTTCCTTGGTTAGTGTTACCCCAAGATACTTTAAGCTATTTGTGGCTATCATGAAAGGTGATGTTTCTCTGATTTTCCTCTCTGCATCTGTATCCCTTGTGTGTAGAAGGGCTACTGATTTTTTGGAGTTGATCTTGTATCCTGTCACATCACTGAAGCGATTTATCAACTGTAAGAATTCTTTGGTAGAGTTTTTGGGGTCACTGATGTAAACTATTATATCATCTGCAAATAATGATTTCTCTGTTTTTATGCCAATACCAAGCTGTTTTCAATACTGAAGCTCTGTGTTAGAGTTTGAAGTCAGGGATGGTAATGCCTCCAGATGTTCCTTTATTGTATAAGATTGTTTTGGCTATCCTGGATTTTTGGTTTTCCATATAAAGTTGATTTTTGTCCTCTCAAGGTCTGTGAAGAATTTTGATGGGATTTTGATGGGGATTGCGTTGAATCTATAGATTGCCTTTGGTAGAATTGCCATTTTTACTATGTTGATCCTCCCAATCCAAGAGCAAGGGAGATCCTTCCATTTTCTGGTATCCTCTTCAGTTTCTTTCTTCAAAGACGTAAAGTACTTGTCAAATAGATCTTTCACTTCCTTGTTTAGAGTTGCCCCAAGATGTTTTATGGTATTTGTGGCTATCATGAAAGGTGATGCTTCTCTGAATTCCCTCTCTGCATCCTTATCCTTAGTGTATAGGAAGGCAACTGATTTTTTTAGAGTTGATCTTGTATCCTGCCACATCACTAAAAGTGTTTATTAGCTGTAGGAGTTCTTTGGTAGAGTTTTCGGGGTCGCTTATGTACACTATCATATCATCTGCAAATAATGAAAGTTTAACTTCTTCCTTTCCAATTCGAATCCGCTTAAATCCCCTTATGTTGTCTTATTGCTATTGCTAGAACTTCAAGCACTATATTGAAGAGGTATGGAGAGAGTGGACA